TTAAACAAAACAAAACAAAAAAAGAGTAATCTCACTGATGCAAGGAATGTGTATCCCTTTCCACAAAGATTAAGACTGACCAAGAAGAGAATTATGTCCCCCATTGATCAGAAGTGAGAGGGTACATGGAACAGCAGGGCTCATTGGCATTCTGGGGTGATGGCCTGGAAAGCCCTGTACGGCAATAGGCATGACTGTCCCTAGAGAACTGGTGGGGAGCCCACAGGGTAGTCGGTAGCTGCCCTGGGTCCCAGCACAGTGTAAAGGATGTCTCCCCCAACCCAGCTGCCCTCAGGTTTAGAGGTGGCATTGCAGTAGAAATATAGCCAGTTAAAACTAGGGCATGGGCCCACACATTCAGCTCACACCGAAGGTTAGTAGGGAACAGGGAACTATCAATAGCTCAGAGCCCTGAACTTATCCTGTGTGTGATGTGAGTGAGAATCATCCCAAATAAGCACCCTAGCACGATTCTGGCAGCTCAATCTTGTGAGATCTCACAGGAGAGGTAATTCACAGGCAAGTAATGCAATCCACATTCCAGACGGTCCTCCTGGATAAAGAATCCAGCCACAGGATACCAAAAAGATCCCATAGATATGAATCCAAGAGCTCCTGGGGGCCTCTGGTCAACTCTACATGAGTGACAGTGGGTGAAGAGTCCCCCAAAGTGAAGAAATGGGAACAGGAGTGAGGACGTTGCCTTTGGGTCTTGATCCAGGCTCAGGGTCACCCACCTGAATAGCGCTGTCAGTCCCCCACTGGTGTCACAAAGTGTGGAACCCCTGAGGCCTGGATCCTGGCCCAGGGCCCCGTTTGTCTGGTTGAAGGACAGTATTGCCAGTAATATACCTACTTTTCACTCCTGAGGCTGGAAAAGTCAGATACTAAACTAGTTTTCCTATTGCTCTTGCCACTAGGCATGGCCATGTGATTCAGTCCTAGCCACTGAAATATAAATGAGAATTTACCAGATGAGGAGGAGGTATTTTAGAAAGGTTTTCCTCCCTGATATTAAAAAAAAGCTTCTTTTCCAGGCCAGATGACTTTCTTCCTCCCTTAAATAAACTTTCGAATGATGAGATACCTGGAGCAAAATGATTGCAGCTATTTTGCAACCACAAGGCAAGAAGCCTAAGATAAAGAGACAAAAAGCCCAGGATAAGAGAGTAGAAAGAACTTGGGTCCTTTTGCCATTATTATTATTTTTAATAATTTATTTATTTATTTTGACATGGACTCTTGCTCTGTCTCCCAGGCTGGAGTACAGTGGTGCAATCTCTCTGCTCATTGCAACTTCCATCTCTGAGGTTCAAATGATTCTAGCTCCTCAGCCTCCCGAGTAGCTGGGATTACAGGTGCGTGCCAGGCTAATTTCTGTATTTTTGGTAGAGACGGGATTTCACCATGTTGGCCGGGCTGGTCTCGAACTCCTGACCTCAAGTGATCTGCCCGCCTTGGCCTCCCAAAGTGCTGGGATTACAGGCATGAACCACTGCATCTAGCTCCTTTTGTCATTATTAAACAACATACCCTGGGACTGCTAATGTCCAGACATTATAGGTCAGGTCAGATAGTGAAATGTCTTTACTCTGTGAGTTACCATAGCTGGTTATTCTGATACTTGCAGCTGGAAAACATTCCTACAAAATATAAGCTAAAATCATCAAAGTCCAGCTCAAGGGTGGGGGGGGGTGCTGGGTCCTATGTGAGATGCTCAACGTCTCAAAGATTGGAAGAATCTCTTTTCTAAAGAATCTTCCAGTCTAGACATGAGATAAATGTGCAAACAGATGTGACTTCTGTGCCATGCTAGTAACACCTGAGCAGGTACAAAGGTTCAATCAATTTCCTAAAAGAATTCAATCTTTAGCTGAGTATGATCACAGATGTAAATTCATGAATGGTGGAAGACATTATTCACTTTTTTATGGAGTTGTCTTTTAATTCAGAGAGATCTGGTGACAGGTGGGACTCCCAGGGTTTCTTTTCTCTCAGATCTTCCTTTTTCTCTGACCCTCCCTCTCATATCAGTTTCTGACCTCATCTGACTCCCAAATCAGTTTCTGACCTCATCATCTCCAGGTGCTGCCTCCATCCTGGTGGTTGGTGTTTGTGGGGTAATGGTCATAAACTTCTGCATTCCTAATTCCATCCTGGAAGGGCAGGAGAGAATTCCTTGTAATTGGTATATCCTTAAGGTCCTTTTAAGGATTAAGCTTAATTCTAAAAAATTATTCACAGTGGAGCAGCTAATAATAGTTAATAGTTAAACAAAACATTTTCTTGGTAAATATTGATTTCTCTGAAAGCATAATGTTAATAGGTTGTTGTGCTCTAAATTCCCCTTCCCATTGGGATGATTAATGGAATATTCAAAATAGGGAACAGGAAAAGCACACACTATTCCCCACACAAAAATGTCCAGATCACCGACAATTGCTAAAAAGGGGGTCTGGTATAACAAAATGCAGGATGGCATAAGAGAAGAGGCACATTTGTGAGCTTGGGGGAGCCAGGGAGGCCCTCACAAAGAAGAAGCATTTGTTGGGACCTCAAGGACAATTAGGAATGTATTAGGACACTTGGGTGCTAGTGACAGAAACTCAACTCAAACTAGTTTAAGAAAAAGGGACTTAGGCCGGGTGTGGTGGCTGACGCCTATAATCCCAGCACTTTGGGAGGCCAAGGCGGGTGGATCACAAGGTCAAGAGATTGAGATCATCCTGGTCAACAAGGTAAAACCCCGTCTCTACTAAAAATACAAAAATTAGCTGGGCATGGTGGTGCGTGCCTGTAATCCCAGCTACTCAGGAGGCTGAGGCAAGAGAATTGCTTGAACCCAGGAGGCGGAGGTTGCGGTGAGCCGAGATCGTGCCATTACACTCCAGTCTGAGTAACAACAGCAAAACTCCGTCTAAAAAAAAAAGAAAGAAAGAAAAAAGAAAAAGGGACTTAATTGTAAGGATACTGGAATCACTCTCACAAAATAAAAGGAAAAGTTGAATGATCTAGAGGAAGGAAGGGCAAGGAAATAGCTGGTCTTCAGCATAATTGGATTAGAGCAGTAGTCCCCAACCTGTTTGGCACCAGGCGCTGGTTTCATGGAAGACAATTTTGCCATGGTAGCAGGAGTGGGGGTAAGGGGGGTGCTTTCAGGATGGAACTGTTCCACCTCAGATCATAGACATTAGATACTCATAAGGAGTATACAACCTAGGTTGCTCGCATGCACAGTTCACAATAGGGTACACCGTCCTATGAGAATCTAAACCACTGATCTGACAGGAGGTGAAGCTCAGGCAGTAATGCTCGCTCACCTGCTGCTTACCTCCTGCTGAGTGGCCTAGTTCCTAACAGGCCATGAATCAGTACCAGTCTGTGGTCTGGGGGCTGGGGATCCCTGGAGTAGAGAATGCCTATTTTACTTGCCTCTTTCTCTCTGCATCTTAACACAGAGAAAGAGTAACTCCAATGTGCCGTTCTTGGTATGAAATTCTCAGGAAATCTGATTGGTTTACCTTGGTTAGGTTGACCACATGTAGGATGATTGGCTGTGGTCAGGGATATGAAGTCATATGAGAACTTGTCAGTTTCTGCTGAAATCACGTGGTTGGAAACAGTGGAGGAAGATCTCCAAGAAGAAAGGGGCAGGTGTTTCCAGAGGCATGCTGTTGTACTGTAGTTATCGTTGGTGGTGTGCATATGACTAGGCAGATAAATAAAAATAAGCAGAGAAGAGAAATGGAAGATGATAAGGATGAGTAGTTGATGAATAGCACACTGGTAAAGGGAAGATATCGTTCAAAGGCAAAGAAACATGATGATACATGGTACGTTCTGGGAACTACAAGTAGATTAGCATTGGTAGAATAGAAAGTTAAAGAGGTGGATGACAGAAGTTAAGGATGGAGAAGTAGCCTAAGCTTAATTAAGGAGGATCTTGTATCCCATCATCAGGAAGTAAGTAATAAAGAGCCACTGAAGGAATTTTAATAGGAGAGAGAAATGATGACATTTATGTACATTATTATGTAGTCATAGCTACATTCCAATAGCTATGAGAGGGATAGATTAGAACAATGTTTACAAATGTGGTACCAGGACGAACTGATTTTACTTGGTGCAAGAGTTGATTCTAAGTGGTATGCAAAAGGGAAATTGACTTTCTTTGGTTCGTGCAGTGAGAGAGAGTTACTCTCTTTAAAATTCTCTTTTGGAAGGCCGGGCGCCGTGGCTCAAGCCTGTAATCCCAGCACCTTGGGAGGCTGAGGCAGGTGGATCACGAGGTCAAGAGATCGAGACCATCCTGGTCAACATGGTGAAACCCCGTCTCTACTAAAGATACAAAAAATTAGCTGGGCATGGTGGCGCGTGCCTGTAATCCCAGCTACTCAGGAGGCTGAGGCAGGAGAATTGCCTGAACCCAGGAGGCGGAGGTTGCGGTGAGCTAAGATCACACCATTGCACTCCAGCCTGGGTAAAAAGAGCAAAACTCCATCTCAAAAAAAAAAAAAAAAAAAATTATCTTTTGGTCTGTTCGATTAACCTAAGGGGAAATGATCCATTTGGTGCCTGTATGTTTTTTATATCTCTCCAAGGCTTGGTAACCTCCCTTTTCATCAAAGAAAGAGCAGGGCCTCAAACTCAGAACTATCAGCAACCAACTATATGCAGCCATGATTAAGTAATGTAGTTTTGTTTTCATTGTGTGATTTTTATAGTCAATCATCTTTTTATGGCAAATGATACTGGTTTTTCACTTATGATAATGATATCAAAAATCCTTTTTAGTAAAACTGAGCAAAATGAAAGCCAGGTCAAAGAAACAATTAAGGACATCATTATGCAGATAATACATGGAAATGGTAGCAATGGTGACAATGGGGCATAAGTTACTAAAATTTGGGATACATTGGATTAGAAGAAAATAAGTCCCCAAGAGACCAATAAGAAGGATACTGCAACAGCACATGAGAGATTTTAAACTCCTTGATATCAGCTTTGCACACTGGAGCATCGTAGCCAATGAGGTTTATCCGAGGTACGATTATTACTAATTGAAAACTTTTCCCAATATCCCGCCATGACGACTTGAAATATAGTTGGCATTGGTAATTTTTGACAGTCTCAACGGAGACTGAATTATTAAAAAAAAAAAAAAAGAAACTCCATGATATAAGAAAGACTTATCTTCTATTAATTTTGTTTTCCTCTCAGGAATAAGTTTGGAGGGCAGCAAGAGTAACTGTCAAGCTAGGAACCTCATCAGCAATGCAAAACATTGTCACAGATGTTGAGAAAGACCCCGAGGTTAATGCATTCTTTCCAACATTAGGTCTGAAAACGTCTCCTGAAAAGCTACCTTAAATCTAACTTTTGAAAGTGCACAATATAAGCGAATTAAATAAAAACAACTTGAAATTTGTACTTATCCTTCAAATTCCTCAAATATCACTTCCTCTGAGAAGCCTTCCCTGATTTTTCTGTGTCTAATTTGGCAGCTCCTTGCCCTGCGCTTTCAATGAAGCTTCCTACACATCTAAGCAGAGCTGTGGTAGGATGGTTTCTTTTCTTTTCTTTTTTTTTTTTGAGACAGAGTTTCGCTCTTATTACCCAGGCTGGAGTGCAATGGCATGATCTCGGCTCACCACAACCTCCACCTCCTGGGTTCAAGCAGTTCTCCTACCTCAGCCTCCTGAGTAGCTGGGACTACAGGCTGTGCCACCATGCCCAGCTAAGTTTTGTATTTTTAGTAGAGACGGGGTTTCACCATGTTGACCAGGATGGTCTCGATCTCTTGACCTCGTGATCCACCCGCCTCAGCCTCCCAAAGTGCTGGGATTATAGGTGTGAGCCACCGCACCCGGCCTGGTAGGATGGTTTCTTTGTGTGCCTCCTCATCAGGCTCTCAGTTGTCCGGTGACTGTCTTTCATCCTTTTTATCCCCTTTAGGGGACAAAACACCCCTTAGGACTGTTCTGGCACAAAATAGGTATGAGTTCAATAAATATTTGTACAACAAATAAATCTTTCTGCGAGGACACCATGTTATAGAACACTTGAAAGTCATTACATTCCATATTATTGATTTCAAGTACAGTAAAAGTTTATAGATGAGAACGATCAATATGAATAGAGAATGTATTGAAGGAGTTAGGATGTTACGGAGCTTGAGTTGGAAACAAATCTAAATAAAGATTCTTCAACAGCAGCATCTTACTAGCAAGATTTCATACTTGGAAGTGTGTGTGTGTGTGTGTGTCTGTGTTTGTGTCTGAGTGTTGGAGTGTGTGTGTCTGCGTGTGTCTGAATGGGGCATTAGAGGGAAGCAGGGAAAGAGTCAGGTCTTTGTGGTGAATTTCTCTTGTCCCTTTTTCCTCTCACCTTTCTCAAGACCAACCCTTTAGCATTTGGCTTTCATTGTCTACAATCCTTCCTGTTCCTAGCATGTTTCACAAAATGCCTCGGCCATAAATAAGTGTGGGGTGGAAGAAGGACCTTGCCATAAAGACAAAACTAAACCCTGTCTTAAGGACTGAAGTTTATTAATTAATTAATTTATTTTTTGAGACAGAGTCTTGCACTGTCGCCCAGGCTGTAGTGCAGTGGCGCAATCTCGGCTCGCTGCAATCTCTGCCTCCTGGGTTTAAGCAATTCTCCTGCCTCAGCCTCCTGAGTAGTTGGGACTACAGGCGTGCTCTGCCATGCCCAGCTAAATTTTTTTTGTATTTTTAGTAGAGACGGGGTTTCACCATGTTGGCCAGGATGGTCTTGATCTCCTGACCTCATGATCCTCCTGCCTTGGCCTCCCTAAGTACTGGGGTTACAGGCGTGAGCCACTGTACCCTGCCTGGACTGAAGTTTATTAAGAGTTCAGAGAGAGGAGCTGGAAGTGGTGGCTCAAGCCTGTAATCCCAGCATTTTGGGAGGCCGAGGCGGGTGGATCACGAGGTCAAGAGATCGAGACCATCCTGGTCAACATGGTGAAACCCCATCTCTACTAAAAAAAAACCAAAACATTAGCTGGACATGGTGGCGCGTGCCTGTAATCCCAGCTACTCAGGAGGCTGAGGTAGGAGAATTGCCCGAACCCAGGAGGCGGAGGTTGCAGTGAGCCAAGATCGCACCATTGCCCTCCAGCCTGGGTAACAAGAGTGAAACTCCGTCTCAAAAAAAAAAAAAAAGAGTTCATAGAACGATGGATACAGGGTTGATCTGGGTTGTGAGACATAAAAGATACAGAGTTTCCCACTCCCATGACTGCCAGTATTCTTCCAAACAGCCATTTAAAATGGTACTAGTCCTCCAAACCAGCAAAAGCTGCACTGCCATATGATAGCCGCTAACCACATGCGGCTACTTAAATTCCAACACAGTTTAAAATTCAGTTATTCAAATTGCGCTAATCACATTTCAAGTGTCCAATAGCCATATATGCCTAGTGGCTTCCATATTAAATAGCTCAGATAAAGAACATTTCCATCATCTTAGAACATCCAATTGAACAATACAGAGCTAAGGAGTAAATCCTCTCTGGGTTGCTGAAGGTGGGAGCCACGTTTTACTGCTTTCACAGGCTTAGAAAAGTTCCTTTACACTTTTAGCTACTATTTCTTTGGATTTAACCAACACTTCCCTTAGTGATGGTTTCTATACTTTCAGAATGTATGTATTCTTAGAAAGCATGCAGTGAATTTTCTTTAACAATTCAGCGGTTTTTAGCATATTCACAGAGTTGTATAACCATAACCGCTATCTAATTACAGAACATTTTCATCACTTCAAAATGTAAGTTCATACCCATTAAGCAGTCACCATTCATTTCCCCTGGCAACCACTAATCTGCTTTCTATCTCTATGGATTTGCCTGTTCTGAATATTTCATATAAATGAATCATACAGTATATGGCTTTTTGTTTCTGGCTTCTTTCACATAGCGTAATGTTTTCAAGATTTATCCATATGGTGGCATTTATCAGTACTTCATTTTATGGCTGAATAATATTCCATTATGTGGCTATACAGTACATTCTCACTTATCGTCATTGATAGGTTCTTGAAATGCAACCTTTAAGCAAAATGATGTATAAAAACCCCCATGTTCCTGTAAAGGAATTGAATAAACAATAATTAAGTTCCTACAGCATATTTTTGGTCACAAAAACATCACCAAACTGCTAAATAAAGAGAAAAACATTTCTAATGTTAAAGGTGGAAATAAATGTGAGCTATATGTACACTCTTAAAAGATTAATAAAACCAAGTAAAATAATTATTTGGCCCATTATTCCAGTTTAAGATCTCAGGTGATAGGAGCCTATCTAGCAGCTCAGCACACCAACTGGGAACCAGTCCCGAACAGGACATCATTCCATTGCAAGTCTCTCTCTCTCTCTCTCTCTTTCTCTCTCTCTCTCCTCTCCCCTCCCCTTCCCTCCCCTCCCCTCCCCTCCCCTCCCCTCCTCTCCTCTCTCTCTCTCTCACATACACACACACACACCTATCATCCTGGGACAATTTAGACACACCAATGAACCTAATGTGCACATCTTTGGAATGCAAAAGGAAATTGGAGTACTTGGAGAAAACCCCTGCAGATGTGGGGAGAAGGTGCAAACTTTCAGCTGGGAGTTGATTTTTTTTTCTCATCAACTTTCTAATAAAATAACATTATTGGAGGGCCATCTGTGCTATTGAATACATTTTGTTCATCTATCATTAGTTGACAGGCATTTGGGTTGTTTCTTTTCTTTCTTTCTTTTTGAAATGGAATTTCACTCTTGTTGTCCAGGTTGGAGTGCAATGGCACAATCTCAGCTCACCGCAACCTCTGCCTCCTGGGTTCAAGCAATTCTCCTGCCTCAGCCTCCTGTGTAGCTGGTATTACAGGCATGCGCCACCACACCCGGCTAATTTTTGTATTTTTAGTAAAGATGGGGTTTCATCGTGTTGGTCAGGCTGGTCTCAAACTCCTGACATTGTGATCCACCCACCTCAGCCTCCCAAAGTGCTGGGATTACAGGCGTGAGCCACTGTGTCTGGCATCTACCTTCAGCTATTATGAATAATGATGGTATGAACATTTATGTACAAGTTTTTGTGTAGGCATAGGCTTTCAGTTCTCTTGGGTGTATATCAAGAAATGGGATTACTGGGTGATATGGTAACTCTATGTTTAACTTGTTGAGGAACTGCAAAACTGTCTTCTAAATCAACTGCACCACTTCACCTGTGTTCATTTAAGGATGAGCTTATTCTTCTTTTTACCTGACTGTGCCTGACATACAGAAACTACCTATTTACTGTTAGATTGGATGGCCGATCACTTTGCTCCACACCAAATGTCCTTCCAGTCTGGAACTGAAGGATGCCCTGTTGAAGACCAGGATAGGGTGTGGCCCTAGTCTCCTTAATACCACCCATTAGCCTGTCAGGGGTTTTAATCAGTCACTTCATGTTTATTAAGCACCTACTTAATTGAGGATACATTGATTGGGGATAGGTTGCTAAGTAATGCACAGTCTTCTAGTTAGAAAGATGGCCATTTAAGCAGATCACTAGAATGCCGTTGTTTAGTGATGTTCTGGAATATAAGATGGGCAAGAAGTTCACAACTCTGCCTGGGAGAATTAGTGAAGGCCTCACAGAGGAAAGGATATTTTAGCTGAGTTTGAGCATTAAGCAGCAGTCATTAGAGAAGTATGATACAGGGGTTGAACTAAATGAAGCATTTTGCTAGAGACAGAGAACAAACCAAGATATAAACGGTTCCTGCCCCCAGTAGATTCCAAGTTAATGGAAGTAGAATTCAGGTTCTTCTTTCACTTGTCATTCTTCCTTCATTTGCCATCCTTCTTTCGTTTGTCATCCCTGGGCTGAGTTTAATGTAATGCAATGAGGGTTGAGCAGTTTGCAAAGCATCTTGGGTCAGCTTGGTTCTCTGGCTGAAACAGTCCTTCTTCTTTGAAGTGATAGTTTGACCAATCCAAATGGGTTGATAGTTTGACCAATCCGGTTGGGGCCCCAGGAACCGCGGGGAAAGCCACAGCTATGGAAAGTGAGCAACCTGAATCATGGGCTGATGTCTCCACGTGCTTCTGATGCTTGAAGAGGGATGCACATGAAAGAACCCTCCTCACCCAATCCACACACTGTCTGCTCCGGTGTTCCTCCCAGGTGAGGTTCAACCGATGCCCATCCGCCTATTCAATATAAAGTGAATCAACTGTTTGTCCATTGATATAAACTGGTAATTTTATATTAGAAATTTTATACAGAAAACAGAGGTAATTTCCTCCCGGGGTCTTGGGCTCCTCAAAGTAAATGACTGTAAGCTCACCCTAGCGGAAGGGCCGAGACAGTTCAGAGTGAGTCAAACTGGTTAAAGACTTGAGTCTTTACTTCTCTCCTAAGCCAAATTTCTCACTCAAGGCATTCTGCCAACAAAGGAGTATAGAACAAGTGGGAAATGTCTGTGGGTAAATGGCTGTGCCGGGCACGGTGGCTGATGCCTGTAATCCCAGCACTCTGGGAAGCTGAGGTGGGCGGATCACCTGAGGTGGGGAGTTCGAGACCAACCTGACCAACATGGAGAAACCTGTCTCTACTAAAAATACAGAATTAACCACGCTTGGTGGTGCATGCCTGTAATCCCAGCTGTTCAGTAGGCTGAGGCAGGAGAATCGCTTGAACCTGGGAGGCAGAGGTTGCGGTGAGCAGAGATGGCACCACTGCACTCCAGCCTGGGCAACAAGAAAGAAAATCAGAAAGAAAGGAAGAAAGAAGGAAGGAAGGGAGGGAGGAAGGGAGGGAGGGAAAGAAAGCAAGCTACATACTTGCTTTCAAGGTAGTGCAACCAAGCCAAAGGTCTTAAAATATAAGCTGTGTTTGCTTACTTCTAGTCATTGCCTACCTGGGTGTTTAGAGGTGGTGTTTTTTTGTTTGTTTGTTTTTGTTTTTGTTTTTTTTTTTTTAGACGGAGTTTCACTCTTGTTACCCAGGCTGGAATGCAATGGCGCAAACTTGGTTCATCGCAACCTCCGCCTCCTGGGTTCAAGCAATTCTCCCGCCTCAGTCTCCTGAGTAGCTGGGATTACAGGCACGCGCCCCCATGGCCAGCTAATTTTTTGTATTTTTAGTAGAGACGGGGTTTCACCATGTTGACCAGGATGGTCTCGATCTCTTGACCTCGTGATCTACCTGCCTCGGCCTCCCAAAGTGCTGGGATTACAGGCTTGAGCCACCGCGCCCGGCTAGAGGTGGTGTTTTATGAGTAACACGACAAAGGTTTAGTGGCACCCAGATTTATGGTTTATGTCTTAGAAAGATTCAGAACAGATGGGAGAAGAGACGGAGGACAGAACAATTAGAATTCCCTATACACCCTCGGTTCTAACCAGTGCCAATGAAAATCTCTCCAGACTAAAAACTAGTGTCACTTGTCCACATGTTCACGAGGCATATGAACGTTCTTATGAGAGCCTCTTCTGTATTTCTGAATAAACAAATGCGAAGTGTTTGGAATAATGCCTAGTAAATAATATGCACCATAAAAACTTTAGGATCGGCCGGGCGCGGTGGCTCAAGCCTGTAATCCCAGCACTTCGGGAGGCCGAGGCGAGTGGATCACGAGGTCAAGAGATCGAGACCATCCTGGTCAACATGGTGAAATCCCGTCTCTACTAAAAATACAAAAAAATTTAGCTGGGCATGGTGGCGCGTGCCTGTAATCCCAGCTACTCAGGAGGCTGAGGCGGGAGAATTGTCTGAACCCGGGAGGCGGAGGTTGCGGTGAGCCGAGATCGCACCATTGCACTCCAGCCTGGGTAACAAGAGTGAAACTCCGTCTCAAAAAAAAAAAACAAAAACAAAAAAAAACTTTAGGGTCATTGTCATTATCTAGTTTCATCTCTCTAGCTACGTATGAACTTCCCTGTAATCGAAGATCTCACCATCTTTCTCTTTTTCCCCTGAAACACCTAGCACAGTGTTTTTAATTATTTGTTGTCGTGATTAGGGCCTAAAATAAGTTCCTCTCCCTTTGAGAGCTCAGGTAGGACCACTGGGAGGTGGTGTGTAGAGTCCAACATGAGTCCACAAAATAAATTGGCGCCCGCTGTTTACAAGCGACTGTCCTGAGCCTAGGCCCTCTGTAGAGTCAAAAGTATCAATAAATGAACGTACGGGAGTGAGGCCAGGTGAGCATGATTCCCACTCTTAGGAGGTCTTAACTACCCGCCCGCAAACGGGGCGGGTGGGACTCCAAGGCGTTCCCCATTCCCTGCCATTTCCCTGTGGATGCTTTCCGCATTGCCTCGTGCCTGGATGGCCGGCCCCAGTGGGCGCAGAGGGTAAGTTCGTCCGGCTGGAGCCCGGGGAACCACCGGGAGGCGAGGCTGTGGCGCGGGAGGCTCAGCTAGCAGATCCCAGCGGCTCCCGGCCCGTCCCCCCCCCCCCCCCGCGCCCGGCTCTCCGGCTGCCCAATCAGAGCGGGGCTTGGGAGCGCGCCGCGGCCAATCAGGGGCGGCGGGAGCGGCGCCGGGAGTCGGCGGGCGCTGAGCAAGCCCGAGACTCTGGAGCCGGCGGCGGTGCTGCGGCTGGGAGGGAGTGCAGCGAGAACAGTGCGGCCGGGTGAGGATTCCGCGGCCAGACCAGCCGGCTGCGCCGCGGCGACGTTCCCGCGGGCGCTAGGGACCTGCGGATCGCGGCACAGGTAACTGTACCCGGCGCCCCGCAGCAGGAGGGCGAGCGCGCCCCCGAGAGGGGCCCCGCAGGTGAAGCGGGCGGGGGGCGGGCCGGCCGCGAGGTCCTAGCGCCGCGGTGCCCCCTGGCGCCCCCGAGCCTGCCCCGACGAGCCACGCGGAGGCGCGGCGTTTCCACCAGCCGCAGGCGTCCGGGGGTGGGAGAGGACGAAGGGACTCTGCCTGAGGCAGATGGGGGTGGAGGAGGACTCCTGCGACTCCCGGCCCCATACACAGACACTTTTGATCGACGGGTGTCTTCGAATTAGGGATGCCCAGGATGTCTTCATTGGCCCGAGTGGGGAGGCGACAACAGGTGTCCCTGGGGACGGTGCTTCCCCCACACTCCCCTCTCCTGAAAGCCCGGCCTTGGCGCCGCGCGTCACCTTCGGGGTGTCGGGAGGCAGGACCCCAGCCTGGCCTCAGGCGCTCTGCCCGCTGGACAGCGCCCAGAGGCTGCCTGGACGCGGGGCTTGGATGGAGTTTCCTCTGCGCGTTGCCAAGCAATTTGCCGGACACCCGCCTCTCGCTGGGATGAAGAGCTGAAGATGAGACTGTGTGCGTGTGTGCGTGTGTGTGTATGTGTGTGTGCATTCGTGCTGTGTGTGTGTGCGCGTCCGTGTGTTCTGGTGCAACCCCTACTGGAAGGAGCTGCCTGAGGGCTTTGAGTGAATCATTAACTGCTTTTGTGCAGCTCCTGGCCTCTGCCTGCCTCCCCGCCTCTTCCGAAGCTCCCCGTTTCCCCCTCGGGCAGGTCGTCTTTGCTCGCCGTGCCTCCCTCTTCTGATCTGTAAGGTGACGATAATGATTGAGGATTATATGAGCCAATGCCTGAAAAACACCGGTTTTTCAGCGCTAAGCACTTAATAAATACTGGCTCTTATTATTTATTATACCGAGTGAATGGCCTTTTAAAGAGTAAATCAGACGTGTCCAAACTGGCCTAGCAACCATTTGCAGCTCTGAACAGCTTTCTACACTTGAAAGAAAAAATGCTGTTATTAATGATACTGATAGTATCTTTTAAAGGTAACATATCCTTTTGGTGGGGCAGTAAAAAACTGATTCATTGGGATGGTTAGAGAAATCAAAGTATTCCAACTAGTAACTGAGAAAAGCTTTGTGACTCTTGAAAAAATTGGTATAAATATTGTGTGAAAATAATATCATGGTACTTTGTTAAATATTCACCTTTCATTAGCATGGCTGATTTGCGGGAAGTGTTTAAAGGTTTTTATGCTTTTTACTCCTCCCTTAAACGAAAAAGTAAAATTAAAAAGAGGGGCAGGGAGAAAGAGAGAGAGTGAGAGGAAAAACTCAACCACGCAACAAAAATGCCAGTGGCACATAAAAACCTAAAATTGCAGTTGCTACTTTTAGGTGATTTTTTCCTATGCCTGACCTGGGTGGTCTGGTTTAATTCTTTGTCACTGTGTCACTTTTCTTTTCTTGGTTAATCTGAAGAATCTAATAATTGGCCCCTTTCATTTTTATTTTTAAAACTTAAAATATTCGTCAGATGCAGTGGCTCACGCCTGTAATCCCAACACTTTGGGTGGCCAAGGTGGGTGGATCACTTGAGGTCAGGAGTTTGAGACCAGCCTGACCAACAATGGAGAAACCTGGTCTCTACTAACAACACAAAATTAGCTGGGCGTGGTGGTGCATGCTGTAATCTCAGCTACATGGGAGGCTGATGCAGGAGATTCACTTGAACCCAGGAGGCGGAGGTTGCGGTGAGCTGAGATCACACTATTGCATTCCAGCCTGGGCAACAAGAGGGAAACTCCATCTCAAACAAAACAAAACTTAAAATATCGACATGTAGCAGACCTACTTGGAGTTTTGAACCCTCTGCTCACTTGCCTCCTACCCTGTGATGAATCCCGAAGAACCTTCTCAAAGCTTCTCTAGGGTTATGTCAGTGGGAATCTGTTTTACCACACCATACTACCTGCTATGCCAAAACCCACAGGCTAGGACCTGGAGAAATATGCAAACAAAATACCCCAGTATATTGTAGGGTCTCCTGTGCTTTTGCCAGGAGCCTTGGAATGAATACATTCATTTAGAGGAAATGCTTATCTTCTCAGGGGGTAAGAAGCCAACTTCCAGATGTAATCTTTCAAGTCTCAAATTAGCATGGCAGCCCTTTCAGTTGTTGATAAGGGGACTTTTACTCTCTCCAGTGGTGTGGGAGGATCTGAAGCTTGCTGCTAAGGGGGAGTCAGAGAGATGTGTTGGGATGAGCAAAGATTCCTGAGTTGGGAGCCAGACCCCCACCTGGTGAGATCTCAGACTGTGACTGACTCTGGAAAACTTCCACAAGTTGCTTTGTTTTTCCAAGCCAGGCTTCTGCTTTGTAAAATGAATTGTTCAATTTTTAATTTCATTATTATTTTTTCTTAGAGGTTGTTCTAAGGATAATACTAATGAATGGAGAAGCCCTGGCACAGTTCCAGGGACATGGTTACATGTCTGTAGCATCCAGAGATCTTAAAAGTTATACCTGGTGAAAACAAAAAGCTTGATTGAGGGGTAACACTTGAGCTGAGTATAGAATGATGCAAGTCTCTTGTGCAGTCGGGTGAGGTGGGATTGGAAAGAAGGCAGAGCAAAGAAGGGAAGACATTACAGAATGAGAGAAGTGATCAAAAGTACTATTACAGTCAGCTTACGGTAAATAGCAAGTAACCCCCAAATCTCAGTAATTTACAACAACCAAGATTTATTTGTCTCTCATACTGTATGTACAGTGTAAGTCAGGAATTGTTCTTCCCCTGATTTGTCATCATTCTGGGACCCACTGAGGCTTAAGAAATAGCCTCTCTCTGGGTCAATGTAGATCTTATTTATGGCAAAAGGAAAAAAGACATGATAGAACAAAACTGGCACCTAAAGTCTGCTCAGAAATAGCAGCCGACACTTCATCTCTCATGCCGTTGGTCAAGGTAACTTACGTGGCAAAGCCTCTGTCAGTGGTATGGGGAAGTCTAAACCAGCTGCAGACAGCGAGATATGGCTGAGCAGGAGGAAAAATGCTGAAGGAAACAAGGTCAGGAGGTGGCCCAGAGGCAGAGTTGTTGAAAGGCCCTGGGTCGCGTGCTAGGAGATTGGCAGGGAGCAGCCACTGAAGAGTTTTGAGTTGGGCTTTGACAGGGTCAGATTTTCTGGCTCAACACACGTCTCTAGTGGCCGTGTGGAGAGAAGATTGAAATAGGTGAGATAAAAAGCAAGAGGTAATGAAGGCAGGGCAAATACAGTGGCCTTTAATCTCTCTCTCACCATGTGTCACATGACTTCAGATTCCACGACTAGAAACTGATTTATTTGGCTCTTGAGCGGCTTGCCTTCTTCACAAGTTCTCTCCTAAAATGTACGTGCTCTCTCATCTTGAAGTTCTTATTTTATATCATCTGAAGCAGTGGTTCTCAAACGTTAGTGTGCTTCCAGATCACCTGGAGGGACTGAGAAAATGCAGATTGCTGGGCCTGGCGCCTAGAGTTCCTGAATCAGTCAGTCTGGTCTGGGGCCTGGAAATGAGTATTTCTGACAAATGCTCAAGTGATACTGATGCCATTGGTTTCACACTTTGAAAACCACTGAACTAAAGGGAGACATTAAGATGTGATTGAGATAAATACCTGAATGGAAGAGTCCAACGGAAGGAGGAAGAGGGCTGGAAGGTCTCAGCATTTTCCATCAGTTTTGCTGAAGGCTGGCTCTGGCCATGTGCAGTAGGTGCTGTAAGAGTAACTGATTCTCTAGATGTATATTAAATTGCAGATGCAGTGTTCATAGTGAGGAAATGAAAAAAGCTTGGGTCCAGAGAAGCATACAAGTGGTGCTTTGACCTGTCCTGTCCCTTTGTAATTTTGCCCAGACTTCCCGTCTTGTCATCTAGCACACACCCTTTTATCTGGCTCCAGACCTCTCACTCAAGCCTGTCCGTTTATTCCAATCCTGATCCCTCAAACTTCTTGTCATTCCAGTTATAATTTTTTCTGGAGCTGAGCTTGCCCACTGGGTGGACATTTGGCTGACTTTTGATATAGTCAGACCAAGAAATTGCTTGCTTTACTTGAGTTCAACTTCATAATTAAACATCTGTGCCATGTGGTCATACAGATTGTGATCAGTACCCCCCACCTCCAAGATAAATAATCCCCTGAGAACCCAAGATTGTCCAGCATTTGGCTTATACTAAGAGATGGAACAAGTTATTACAATTCCCCCTAACCGTGACTCATCACTCCTGTAACAACAGAGCATGCCAGAAATGGACATAAAGGAGAAAATATGTTGGGGTGTATAACATGACACAGGAAATAAAACACAGTGAGTGTCTTTTTTTTTTAAACTCTATTTGAATTCTACCTAGGGTCCCGAAAAATCAGTGGTGTGCCAGCATGTGGCAGAGAGCATGTAAATGCATGAATTACTTCTAGGATCACCAGTCTAGGATCACCATTTTAAGTGCTAACCATTTTAAGTGATCAGCTTAGAATATTTGTTTCAAGGTCTGTTGAGTGCAGAATTATCCATTGGGGTATGAATAGAAAATTCTAGAAATTCAATATGCTTTTTTTTTTTTTTGAGGTGGAGTTTTGCTCTTGTCGCCCAGGCTGGAGTGCAGTGGTGTGATCTCGGCTCACTGCAGCTTCCAGGTTCAAGGGATTATCCTTCCTCAGCCTCCCAAGTACCTGGGATGATGGGTGCCCACCACCATGCCCAGCTAATTTTTAATTTTTTTTGAGACACAGTTTCACTCTTGTTGCTCAGGCTGGAGTGCAATTCGTAATCTCGGCTCACTGCAACCTTTGGCTCCCAGATTCAAGCAATTCTCCTGCCTCAGCCTCCCTAGTAGCTGGGATTACAGAAATGCGCTGCCACACCTGGCTAATTTTGTATTTTTAGTAGAGACAGGGTTTCACCATGTTGGTCTGCCTGGTCTTGAACTCCAGACCTCAGGTAATCCACCTGCCTTGGCCTCTCAAAGTGCTGGGATTACAAGCATGAGGCACTGCACCTGGCCACAGCTAATTTTTATATTTTTAGTGGAGATGAGGTTTCACTATGTTGGCCAGGCTGGTCTAGAATGCCTGACCTCAAATGATCCACCTGCTTCAGCCTCTCAAAGTGCTAGGATTATAGGTGTGAGCCACTGCATCCAGCTTTCTATATGCATATTAAATGTGTATAAAATAAGAAATGTTATGATGAACTCATACTATAAAATGAAGTGAGATTTGCAAAGATCCTTGTTCCAATTGAGATTTGACAAAGTCATACCTTGAAGGTATGCTTTCTGAAACAGGAAAAATTCCTCCAGGATTCTATGTACCTTCCCAGAGATGGATGAGAAAGCTTAGAACCATAACCTTTGTCCTGGAGGCCTGAAGCCAACTGTTTCCTTCTCCAGGTCATTTTGGAAAGCCAGCAGTTTTTCCCCTCCTGCAGCTGTGCCCTCAATACTGCCCTTACTTTGTCTACTCAATGGTGAACTACCACAGTTCCTTCCAGCTCAGGTTTCCAGGAAACCTGGCTTAAAATTTCAAAAGGTACAGCAAACAAAACCGTGGACGTAACTGTGACAGCCAGTGAGAGAAGGGACACTTAAACCAGCCAGGGAGATTTCAGATGCTGAATAATTCATTAGAAGGTGCTGCCATCCTCACACCTGTAATCCCAGCACTTTGGGAGGCTGAGGCGGGCGAATCATGAGATTAGGAGTTCGAGACCAGCCTGACCAACATGGTGAAACCCCATCTCTACTAAAAATACAAAAATTAGCCAGGCGTGGTGGCATCTACCTGTAATCCCAGCTACTAAGGAGGCTGAGGCAGGAGAATTGCTTGAACACGGGAGGTGGAGGTTGCAAAAGAGATTGCGCCACTGCACTCCAGCCTGGTAGACAGAGCAAGACTCCATCTCAAAAAAAAAAAAAAAAGAAGGTGCTGTCATCCCCTCTGGATAACATTTACCCAGCAATTTGATATTTAAGAAATGTTAAGTATCAAATCATAGAAAAATATTATCATCTATTATCTAATTATATTAAATATATACATGCTTATGTATCATATGTATTTTTTTAAATCTCTAGCACTTTCAGGAGGTAGACTTCTAGTGTTATTGCTGTCTTTCCAAAATGCAGTAATAAAAATAGAAACAGTTGGCCAAAATTCTATAGATAGCTAATAGTAAGGCAGGATTGAAACTCAAGGTCCCCTGAATTTTTCATTCATAACATACACCTTTGTCACCCCAGCTGGCTGCCTACTAACTTGGACAGGTGCCCTGAAGTGGCCTCACTGACTGGCAATGGGTGGTCACTGTTCCTTGTGATGTTTTGTCACAACGAGGAATGTGAAGTTGCTTTGCAGATTGCTAATGGCTCAGTGCAACCTTTGGGAGGTGGGTGCACGTGAGTGGTATTGACCATCTGCTGAGTGCAAAGCTTTGAGGAAAATGTTACGAGGAATTCAGAGAAGTGTGATGCTCAGTCTGACACAGCCTCTATGCTGAGAGCGAAAGGCATCTCAATAATAGGTAATAGGTAAACCAATAATAGGTAAACCACAGGGAGACCAACAGTAAGCAAATAATCCAAGGGGGCTACCAAGTGCTGTGAATTCAGACAGAGTCTTTCCCAGATTGTGCTGCGCTGGGAAGCTTCAGGGAGGAGCAGCTACTTGGGTTGGATGGAGAAGTAGGATTTAGCTAGGTGGGAACCCTGGTCTTCAGGGAATAGACCTGAGTGAACCGTGCCTCTGCACTGGTCCACAAGCTTTTCAGGTCCATTCACTGGGCTACTGTGTCTGAAGTAAAGGGATCAAGTGGGAGAGAAGGGAAGTAGGACCTAGATGACTTGTTTTTTTTTGTTTGTTTTTGAGATGGAGTCTCACTGTCACCCAGGCTGGATGGAGTGCAATGGCGCAATCTCGGCTCATTGCAACCTCTGCCTCCAAGGTTCAAGCGATTGTCCTGCCTCAGCCTCCTGAGTAGCTGGGATTACAGGTGCCCACCACCATGCCTGGCTAATTATTTGTGTTTTTAGTAGAGATGGAGTTTTGCCTTGCTGGCCAGGCTGGTCTCAAACTCCTGACCTCAGGTGATCTGCCTGCCTTGGCCTCCCAAAGTGCTGGGACCACAGGCGTGAGCCATTGCACCCGGCCTAGATGACTTTTTAACACTTTCCTTTTTTGATTGCCATCAGACTATTTAATCTTTGTGAAATTATGAAAAGCACTGTTTAATCTGAATGGCTTACATAACCTACAAATGAAGCCATTCAGTGATTAGTAGATGAATAACACTGGACTCCGATTTGACCCTCTTTACATGTTTATTGTATTAGTAGGAAAGCACTTTGGAGCTAAAGATGTCAAACATCTATATAAATAAAATCGAATCCTATCATAAACTCTGTCAAATTTGCAGGCAGTTGGTCTTACTCCATTTGTAATATAACCTGGAAAGGTCAAGTGACTTGTTTAAAGTCATGCAGAAATCCCCTGGCGCTTCTGTAATAACTGACCCCACTTCCCCTGACATTTGGTGGTGTCTAGCTTAAGTCGCCTTACATATCTTCCTAAGGATGGTGACACTAAGAATGACACTAAGATGACACTAGGGCCCCTGTCATCTAGATAGGATTTCTCCTACTCATATCCCATGGGGGGTCTCAGCTGTGACCCCCAAAAGGTCCTTGTTAATGTTAAGCTTGGGGTGAAATCACTGGAAGCTTCTCTTTCAGGCTTCTCCCTGGCTTTCATTGAAAGAAGGTGCCATTTTAATGCTGTGTGTCCGTGTGAACACACCATCTGAATGAAACAGCATTCTCAAGCGTTTTTCATGCCAAATGCCAAGAAGTATAGAGGGACTATCAGTGGCTTTCTATCTATCTGAACTTTGGATTTAGACATTAGACCCTTGCCAGCTTGATAGAATCCCTCCATTGGCTGCCTTTTGAAGTTAGCTAACTGGTTTAAAAAAACCAAATGGGATACTTTAAATGAAAACAGACTTTATTTCACTGTTTGCCTTAGAAACCGAAAACATTTGTCTTAAGCTTTTTTTTTTTGAGACAGTGTCATTGTGTTGCCCAGGCTGGAGTGCAGTGGCAGGATCTCAGCTGACTGCAGCCTCTGCCTCCTGGTTTCAAGTGATTCTCATGTCTCAACTTCCCGAGTAGCTGGGACTACAGGGAAGCTGCCTACTTTTTGTATTTTTAGTAGAGACAAGGTTTGGCCATGTTGACAAGGCTGGTTTCAAACTCCTGGCCTCAAGCAACCCACCCACCTTGGCCTCCCAAAGTGCTGGGATTACAGGTGTGTGCCGCCATGCCTGGCTCATTTTTCTTAAGCTTTTAAAAGAGAATAATGAGAATGCCATGGTTAAATGGATAAAGCTGGGGCGATCCATATTTGGTAGACGCATCCAGTTATATGTGTTTAAATGTTGTTTATTATGTGAACTCAGAGCTGTCAAAAATATACTTTAATTGTCTATTTCCTCATCCTTGCCAAACATAAAATACTCATATTTTTTCTGAAATCATTCCATGTCCCTACATTTCCCTCCACTTCAGACTTCAAACAGTTGAAAGGTAGAAAACTTTCATGGTTGCTGAAATTATCAAAAACACTGTCAGTAGCTATCATACATTGCATCTTACAGTCATCTGCTGAACCCTGATACTGTGTTATCTTTCTTAATTTGCAACTCAACACTGTAAGGTCTGGAGGAGTAGACAAACAGAGGCTGGGGCTAAGTACTTTGTCAAAGGCTGTAATGGAGCTGGGCTTTAAACCGACCACTCTTAATCTCTTAGATCTAGAAGCTATGCCCTGAGTCACTGTGGTATCTGGAAGCAAAAGGAAATGTGCTCTCAAGAGTTAACAGGGGCTATCTGTCCACTCTGGTCACACCCTGGGAAATGCCTGGTAGGAGGAAAACTCCTTTTGTTTTTGCAGGGTCAGTTCACAGTATCAGCAGGGCAGTCAAAGCATACTTCTTTCTCTCTCTCTTTTTTTTATTTATTACTAGCTCATCCTTATTATTCTTGTTATGATCTCTAGACAGGCAGCTAGTTAGGGAGTGAGAATCTTATTTGAGTAAATCCCGCTGGTTTCTCAGTCACCACCCATCAACCTAATTGACATGGGCGGGGCTGTGCTGTCTGCAACACAGCTGGCGCCTCCAGCTGTGCCATCCATCACACTCAGGCACCCTGGAGTGCACATGCTCTGTTTCTGGTTGATTTTAAGTTCCCGATGCCTGAGCAGGCCTTGGGGAGGCAGTCCCAAGGAGTCAGAGTTGTTTGCTGTCGCATGTCAGACTCTGGTATGGGTGACTTGTGACATCCTGTCATTTGGTTGCCCTTTTCCCGTGAAGGGTGTAGAGAATACGCATCCAGAAATGTCAGGCACTTTGCAGAGGTGGGTCTTGGCCATAGGAAAGCCAGATAAGAGTGCAGGTTCATTTATACATATGTTTCTACTCATAGGAAAACAACTCGCAAGGCAAAAAAGCACATCTCATGGATGGAACATGGTGAAGTGGTTACGAGAACAGACTTTGGAGCCAGACTGCCTGGGTTTGAATTGCGCGGTTTCAGGCAAGTTATTTAATTTCCTTGAGCCTCAGTTTCCTTGTAAAATGAGAGGGTAATAGCAGAACCTACTTCATAGGGTTATGAGGATTATATGATTAGTTAATTAAATGAGCAGAAAAGCAGTCTGACATTAGTGTCTGAGAGATGAGAAGTATCACGTAAGTGTTTATCAAATAGCACATAAAAATAAAGTGATAGGTGGACGTCATGGTATGTAGGTTACACAGCGCTGTAAGACAAAACTTACATGACTACCTCAGTTGAGATACGGTGAAATATATTCAAATGAAATCTTATGAAGCGTACTAGGGAAACTAGCCATCTTAAAGATTCACGTGAGAAATATGTTGGTAAACTGCCTTTTTGTAAAATGAACATGAGAAAACTGTGTCAGAGGAAAAGAGAGGTCAAGGTTGGATGACTCAATGTTTTGGGCCAGGGGGACTGGAAAGGTAGAGTGCCATCATCTTGGATGGGAAGAGCTTCTGCCACAATAGCTTCAGCGGAGGGAGAGTCACTGGTCAAATCTGGATAAGTTTGAGAGTCTTGTTAGGCGTTGAATCGAAGATGTTCAATGGGCACCAGGAAAAGTCAAGTGAGAAGTCAAGGCTGGAAGCATCTGTGTGGGGGTCCCTAGCTTATAGATGGACTCTAAAGCTGTAAAGGAATGAAGGTATTTAACAGTTGGAGAAGGGGTCCTAGGGTTCAATCAGGGGGGCATTCCAGCTCCAGTGGGAAAGTCAAGCTGGGCTCAAGTTTTCTAGTTTGTGCTTTTCTTCACTTTGCCAGTGTAAAATGAAGTATGGACCTATTGACATTTTCTTTGGGTGGTTTTATCATTTGAACTCCATAATGCCATGGTTAAGTGACTGAGTTAAGACTAGAGTCAGATACCATTTCACCCCTTACTATCTTTCTGCCCTTGGGCAAGTTACTTAGTCTCTGAGACTCATTTTCTTTGCCTATGAGTTGAGAACTGGTGGTTAAAAATGCCCATCTCATAGGTGTGAAGGCTCAGTAAGTTCTATGAAGCTGTTCACCACTTTATCTCTTGAAAGATTCTCACCATTCATGTACATTTGTTAAAAGTGGAGAGTGGTGACAGTCACACATGTTTAAAGCCCTTTGAATTTTCCCTAAGCTGGAATCCACATTTTAATTCAACTATTCAACTCCTATTGCCACTGTTTTTCTTCTTTTAAAAAAAAAAATAAAAAAGAGAGGTCAGGGAGATCCTACAGTAAACACACATATATGCCAGTTACTTATGTTTTCTCTGTAATTGAAACACTACATCCAGTGATCAGCTCTGGCCTCTATATGTGCTAATTGCTGTAAGAATCACAGATGCTCAAGCATTCAGAGATAATGAAAACAAACACAGAACAAAAGGGATACTACTGGATGATGGTGTTTCAGTATTATGTATAACCTCATGCTTGCTCTTTGCTACCATGAGCCAGGTAAGAAGGTTCTCTCATTCTTCCCTAAGATACTAACTGAGCTTCCCTACTTTTTTTTTTTTTTTTTTTGATGTCAGAGTTTCACTCTATTGCCCAGGCTGGAGTACAGTGGTGCGATCTTGGCTCACTGCAACCTCTACCTCCTGGGTTTAAGCGATTCTCCTGCCTAAGCCTCCCAAGTAGCTGGGATTACAGGGGTGAGCCCCCATGTCTGGCTAATTTTGTGTTTTTAGTGGAGATGGAGTTTCATCTTGTTGACTAGGCTGGTCTTGAACTCCTGACCTCAAGTGATCCATCCACCTCGGCCTCCCGAAGTGGTGGGATTCCAGGGGTAAGCCGCTGAGCCTAGCCTCTCCTATTTTAAATCCAAGTTTTACACTTGGTTGGAAAATTCCTCTACTCCATTTTATTTCACTCAGCAAATAATAATAATCTGAATCTGTTTCTAAAAAACTCTTCACTCTCAAAGCTAAATAAAAACCCAGAGATATGGAGAATCACATTCTGGAAGTCTTGTCACTCCATCCTCTGATTATTATGTCTGCTCTGTTTGCATTTATGGTTTATATGCTTTGAATTTGTGGCTTTTCTGTTTTGCAAGAGTTACTGTCAGTGAGATGTCTACCAAAAGAAATACTGCTATTAGTGGTGTCGGTACCAACGGTATTTAACAGTGTGGTGTGTTTCTAAATCCCTACTACTGTTTTTGAGAAACCGATGGGTGTGGATGATGTGAAGACTGAAAAGAAAAACTTCAGAAACAACAAAGCAGGAACATTAATAGGAAAGAGCTTCCAGTGTTTAAATTTTTCTTTTGGTCTTTCAGGTTGAGGAAGTAAAGAGAATAGGCGTAAATGGTGGGAAATTTCCATCAACTTAAAAAAACAATAGAGTACATCATTCTTAGCTCCTGAGATGAGAGCCCAGGAAGTCACACGAGGTCAAAGGATCCTGTCCCATTTGTCTGTGGTGACAGTCTCTCCTCCTCCTACAAGGAATCCCTTACCTTTAAACAATGGAAGTATCCCTGAGAAGTTGAAGAAATGCAGCCGATGGAATTTTAAAAAGCAAATCATTGAGGGATAGCCTGGGGAGAAATGCCAAATGTGGGTGAAGGGGAGAAGAAAAGCAAAGCACACTGCCATGTGTGTACCTACGCAACTGTCTTGCATGCTCTGCTCATGTACCCCAAAACCTAAAATCCAATAAAAAATTAAAAAAAAAAAAAAAAAAAAAGCAAATCATTTTAGAAGTACCCAGTGATTATACTTTTCTGTATTTTCCAGTTTTTTTAGTGAGAGTGTATTCTGTTTATAATAAAAACAGAAATCATAAAAATATATATATATATATTTTTTGAGACGGAGTTTCGCTCTTGTTACCCAGGCTGGAGTGCAATGGCGCGATCTCGGCTCACCGCAACCTCTGCCTCCTGGGTTCAGGCAATTCTCCTGCCTCAGCCTCCTGAGTACCTGGGATTACAGGCACGCGCCACTGTGCCCAGCTAATTTTTTGTATTTTTAGTAGAGACGGGGTTTCACCATGTTGACCAGGATGGTCTCAATCTCTTGACCTCGTGATCCACCCGCCTCAGCCTCCTAAAGTGCTGGGATTATAGGCGTGAGCCACCGCGCCTGGCTAAAAATAATTATTTTTTTAGATGGAGTCTTGCTTTGTCGCCCAGGCTGGAGTGCAGTGGCACGATCTCGGCTCACTGAAACCTCTGCTTCCCATATTCAAGCGATTCTCCCACCTCAGTCTCCCCAATAGCTGGGGTTACAAGGGTGAGGCACCACTCCTGGCTAATTTTTCCATTTTTAGTAGAGATGGGGTTTCACCATGTTTGCTAGGCTGGTCTCTAACACCTGACTTCAAGTGATACGCCTGCCTTGGCCTTCCAAAGTGCTGGGATTATAGGCGTGAGTCACCGTGCCCCATTAGGAAAAATAAATGTAAAAGGAGGAAATAAACTAGGAGTGTAGGGATGAGTGCGTTGTCACCATTGAAAGGTGCTCATTTGCTCACATTTGATAATGTGAGAATTCTTTTGTCCTGCAAGTTGTGACACTTCATAACATACCTGCTCTCCACATCTAGAATTTACTTTAAAAGTAGGGGGTGTCAGTAGTGCATTTCGTGTATCAAAACCCCAGACTCTACCAAAGCAGCCAGGCCTCAGTCAATAGACATTGACTCTCACGCTGTGCCAAGCCCACCCAGTGTGTCCCAGTTCCTTATGGCTGTCCCGGGCAGTTGGAGACACCCACATGCCCCTGCCTTCAGTCAGCAGACACAAACTTGGGATGCGTCTGTGTCTCGTTTGTGAGAGGCCTGGTTCATAAGGATAACCCGCAATCAGCCTGGGGCCCCTGTGGAGCCGCAGCCTGCGGTTTAGTGTTTGGGCCAGGCTGTTTTGGTTTTATGCCCATGTGTCTGTTTTGCTGGGGGAAGAGGGAGGGGAGGGATTCTCAGAAAAGGGAAGGAGATATCCTCCACTTTGCTGAAAACGGAAATAAGGAATTATCAGTTCAGGGTCAGTAAAAGCCACAGTGCCTGGCTTCCTTCTGCTGGGCTCCTCTGGAATGATTTTCTTTTGTTTTGAAAGGCCTGAAAGCAATTTGAGCCAGATAAATGGTTCTACAGTGGCAGCTTTTAACAGGGAGTCCACAGATGCCTAGGACTTTGAGAAGTGTGTCTGTGAAGTGCCTTAAATTATAAATAATGTTGCATGTATGTGTATTTTTCCAGAGATGAGAGTCTTTGGGTTAAATTATATTGCAAAGAGATTCAGAGAGCTATAATTTTATTTAAAAGCTAAGAACCAGTTTCAAGGAGAGGCCTTCAAGTCTGAGTTGTGTATCTTGGTCTTGGCCCTAACTTGAGAACTCTTCCTGATTGGTGGCTTGTATATGTAGTGATAGTAGCAAGAAAAGTGTGCACAGCACCTTAGGTATACCTATAGAAGGTATGTTGCAGGAAGATGAAGAAGGTTTCACTTCTTCAAGTGCTGGAAAGCTGGACATCTAGAAATCTTAGGTGGACCCACTGAAGCCCATGCACTTAATGAAGCCCATGCTGCAGAAAGATGAAGGTTTCATTTCTTCAGCTGCTGAAAAACCGGACATCCAGAAATCTGTGACCCCTGCAGTTCTGTCCGAATGCCTCCCATTCTCCCCTTTCTCAAGCCCACTCAGAGCTCCCTTAATATTCTGGATTATCAGAGTATTGACTAGTTGGAATGAACACAAATCTCTTACCTAGTGTCTTACTATGTTTGTGTTGCTGTTAAGGAACACCTGAGATTGGGCAGTTTATAAAGAAAAGAGGTTTATTTGGCTCATAGTTCTGCAGGCTGTACAAGAAGCATAGCACCAACATCTGCTTCTGGTGAGGGCTTCAGGTTGGTTCCACTCCAGATGGAAGGTAAAGGGGACCCAGATGTGCAGAGAGCACATAGCAAGACAGCAGAAACAAGAGAAAAAGGAGGAGGTGCCAGGCTCTTTTCAACATCAGTTCTTGCGGGAACTAAATGAAAACTCA